AGAGAGAGCGGGACCGGGACCGGGAGCGAGACCGGGAGCGAGAGCGGGACCGGGAGAGGGACAGGGAGCGGGACCGGGAGCGCGAGGAGGAGAAGAAGAGGCACAGCTACTTTGAGAAGCCCAAGGCCGACGATGAGGTGAGTGCTCATGAAGGACTGTCCCACCTGAGATCTGCCCTTTGTGGGGCTGTCCCGCCTGAGATGTCCCACAAAGGGCAGATCTCAGGTGGGACAGTCCTTCATGAGGACTGTGGGGTTTGGGTATCTGGCTGTGCCCCTGCACGTGCCAGTGCCAGCTCCTGCTGAGCTCTGCCTGTCCCCAGAGCTTGCTGGGTGTCTGGGTGCCTGTCCTGTCCCTCAGCAAGTGAGGCAGCCCTGGCACCAGCCTGCTGGGTTTGTGCTTCAGCTCTGTGTCATTGACACTGTCTCTCCCTCTTCTTTGCAGCCTACAGACATTGACAAAGGTGAGTCAAGTGTGGTGGGTACCTGAGAGGGGTGGGACAAGGGGGAATGGTTTTAAGCTAAGGGAGGAGAGATACAGATTAGATATTAGGAAGGAATTCTTCCCTGTGAGGGTGGGCAGGCCCTGGCAGAGGTTGCCCAGAGAAGCTGGGGCTGCCCCATCCCTGCAAGTGTTCAAGGCCAGGTTGGACAGGGCTTGGAGCACCCTGGGATAGTGGAAGGTGTCCCTGACCATGGCAGGGAGTTGGGACAAGATGGGCTTCAAGATCCCTTCCAACACAAACTGTTGTAAGATTCCAGGTCTCCTGGGATCAGCCCATCCCATCAGTGCCAAACCGGTTTGCTCCTCCTCTTGTACCTATTGTGAGGCAGCTTGTCCTGCCTGTTACTGTGTCCCAAAGGGATCTGCCCAGCCCCAGTGTTCTGCAGTGAGCTGTTCTCCCCCCAGATGTAACCTGCTGCTTTCTCTACCCCAGGACCCGGCTCAGCCAAGGAGCTCATCAAGTCCATCAATGAGAAGTTTGCTGGAGCTGCTGGCTGGGAGGGAACAGAGGCATATCCTTTACTGTCTGTGCCAGCCTGCCTGGCTGTGGGGCTGGGCTGCCCTTGCAGGCACAAGCACATCTGGGGGGCTGTCCTGCCTCACCTGGTAGCAGGGAAATGCTTCTCCCACACCAAACAAAAGCTCTGCACCCTTTGGTTTGGTTGTGTTGGGGCAGGAGGGGGTTTTCAGCTGGCTGTGCCCAGCTGCAGCTGTAAGGCTCAGCTCTTGTGGTGCTTTCCTTAACTGCTGTCACTTTGAAGAAGCCAGAAGACAAGAAGCAGCTGGGAGACTTCTTTGGCATGTCCAACAGCTATGCTGAGTGCTACCCTGCCACGTAAGGAGCAGTGGGGAGCTGTGGGGTGGGAGCAGGCTGTGCTGGGGGGGGAGCTGTTCTCTGGCAGTAAGGACTTGAACATCAGCCCCACTGCTTGTTGGGGAGCAGGCCTGGCCTTGTCTGTGGCAACAGCTGACTGGGAAAACCATCCCAAGCCTTTGCTTCAGGCTCTTCTTAGCTGCTCTCTGCTGTGGGTGGCTGCCTGGAGCCTGCTGCCCCTCAGAGCCAGGGGAAGGCTGGGAATCTGCTGCATTCCCAGTTGATCCATGTGGTTGTGAAGCTGTGGCCTCCCTCAGTGGGAGAGGAACATCTTTCAGCCTGCAGAGTCATCCTGGAAGCATTTCCAACCTTGGATGCCCTGTGCATCACCTGCAGGCCTTGCAGCTGGGGCCACTTCCCTCTGGCCCAGGAACTGTTTGGTCTGAGGCCATGAGACATGACTCCCACCAGCTCCAAGGTCCTGATCCATCTCATGGACCCACTCTGAACCCTTTCCTTGCTTTTTTCTCCTCAGAATGGATGATATGGCTGTGGACAGTGATGAGGAGGTGGACTACAGCAAAATGGATCAGGTACGTTGGCACCAGCCTTGAGGAGCAGCCAGCAAAGTTGGCACCAGTGCCAGCTGAGAGGATGCCATGGGAAAGAGGCAGCACTGGAGCTGGGTGCTGAGTGAGCTTTGGGGTTTGCTGATCTGCTCCCTGTTGTGTCAGGGAGCAAACAGGTGTCACTGGCACTTGACCCAGAGGTGTTGACAGGCATGCTACTCTGTTCTGAATTCCTCTTGCACAAAATCTGTCTGGAACTTCTTAGGGAGGGGATCTGGAGCCAAGGCCCTTGATCTGGGGCTGGTGGGAGATGGAGCCTCGTGGCTGGGTGTGCAGGGCTTTGTGAGAAGCCCTCCCAGCAACTGAGGAGCTGCTCTGAGTCGTTCTCTCCCTGCAGGGTAACAAGAAGGGGCCTCTGGGCCGCTGGGACTTTGACACGCAGGAGGAGTACAGCGAGTACATGAACAACAAAGAGGCTCTGCCCAAGTGAGTGCGGCTCTCAGGAAGGGCCAGGCAAGGGTTCTGGGTGGGATGGCCATGCTGGCCAAGCCTGGCTGCTGGGGCAGCTTAAAGCAAGCTGGGGGCTCCCTTGTGAGAACCTGAGGAGGAGCTGTGGGTCCTGGGCCTGGTGGTTTGTGTTTGCTTTTAGTGTCACTCTTGAGGACTCGTGACTGTGTCCACAGGGGTCTGAGGATGAGGGAAGAGATGAGAATGTTGACTCCATGTTTCAGAAGGCTTGATGTATTATTTTATGATATATATTCTATTAAAACTATACTAAAAGAATAGAAGAAAGGATTTCATCAGAAGGCTAGCTAAGAATAGAAAAGGAATGAAATGATAACAAAAGCTTGTGGCTCAGACAGAGTCCAAGCCAGCTGACTGTGATTGGCCATTCATTAGAAACAACCACATGAGACCAATCACAGATGCACCTGTTGCATTCCACAGCAGCAGATAACCATTGTTTACATTTTGTTCCTGAGGCATCTCAGCTTCTCAGGAGGAAAAATCCTCAGGAAAGGATTTTTCAGAAAATGTGTCTGTGACAGACTCTGGCCCAGGGGCTGTTTTCAGGGGTTCAGGCCAGCTCTGGAGCACGTACTCATGGCTGGGGAGACGTGTCCCTTCCTGTGGCAGGCTGTGCCTCCCCTGTGAGTGCTGAGCCATGTCCTGCTCCCTGTCCAGGGCAGCGTTCCAGTACGGCATCAAGATGTCTGAGGGGCGCAAGACGCGCCGCTTCAAGGAGACCAACGACAAGGCGGAGCTGGACCGCCAGTGGAAGAAGATCAGCGCGGTGAGTGCCCGGCCTGGCTGGGGCTGCTGTGCCAGGAGCTGCCACCCTGCCCTGGCCTCGCTGTCCTGCCATGGCCAGTGGCTGTGTGAGCACCAGGGCTGGCTCTCTGCCGGCTGGGTTTGCTCCTTGAAAGAGCATCAGCCAAATATTTGGGCTTTCAGTATGGCAGAGGTGGCTGGAGCTCTGTTTGGGACCCCTGTCCTGGGAGCAGCCCCAGGCTGGGGCTTTCTGCTCTGATGATGAATGTGCCCAAAACCATTAGTTTGGAGCCATCCAAAGGGGATTTATGGGAACAGGGGGTGTTTAGTGGCTCCCTGTTTGCGAGCTGGCAGAACTGGGGGTTGTCCTTTCAGGGTGAGCAGTATGGGACAGGCTGGGGAAGGTGAGAACAAATGGTCTGTGGTGGCCAGAAAGGAGCAAAGGGTGAACAGACCAAACTTCTCCAGCTGTAGCTCAGCTCAGCTCGCTCTGGCCTGGCTGCAGCTCTCCCCAGAGGGAGCTGGGTACCCTCCAGCCCCTCTGCCAGCTGTGAGCAGCCAGATCCCCTGAGAGTAACAGGACTTTGTGCTTTCTCTGCAGATCATCGAGAAAAGGAAGAAGTTGGAGGCTGATGGGTAAGTACAGGACCCTGCTGGGCCGCCCCATCTTCTGTGGTGTGAAAGTGTGGATGTCAGTGCTGAACTCTGGATGTGGAGGGGGTGGAGCTGCCTGCCCTGCATCCTTACCACTCTCCTGCCCCTCTCTCTGTTCCAGGGTTGAGGTGAAACGTCCCAAGTACTGATTTCTCCTGAGTTTCTTCCTCCCTCTCCTGGAATCCTGGCCCGCTGGGAGCTGCCTTCCTGGAGCCTGCTGGTGTGCTGTCCTTGCTCCACACACCATCCACTCTCTGCTCAGGGCTGGGGGCTCTTCCCTCCCTCTGTTCTTTGCTGTAGAGCCTGTGCTGTGTAAATGTTGTAGCTTTAATAAAACCTGATTAAATTTGTGCGTGAGCATCTGTTTGTGTGTGCAGAGAGGAAGGGCCTGGGCACATTCTGGCCTCCTTTGGAGCAGCAGGGGTGCTAGGACTCTTCTACTTAATCAGGCACTGTTGGGGCTGACAGTGTATTGATTGTGGGAGCCTTTTGGGCTGGGTGCAGCATCCCTGGATAAAATGAACAAATTTGAGGGTAATAATCCCAGCTGAGCATTATGTGCCTCAGGGTGGGAGGAAGAAATGGGACCCTGAGCTGAAGCAGAGGGATGTGCAAGCTGCTCTAAGCGCTGGCAAAGGGTAGGATGGGGCTAGCGCCAGGCAAAGCTCGTTCCCTCAGGGCAGGGCCAGCAGTGAGCTGGGGTGGTCCCTCGGGCAGGGGCGCTGCTGGTGGTCCCTGGCTGGGCTGGGATCTCTAGGGGGGGGGGGCCTGCAGCCCCCAGACCCTGCAAGCGGCCGCAGTGGCACCTGGTCCCTGGCCGCCCCCTCCCCTGGGGTCAGAGAGAGGAGGTGACGGTGTGAATTGGGGAGCCTGTGGTACGAATTAAGGAGCCTGTGGAGCTCCCAATGGTGAAGCGCTAAAGAACAGGAACACATGAGGCGGGCGGGGAGCGACCTGGTGAAATGGGGCCAGGGGCGCCGGTAAGCCGGAGCCCCGAGGCGCCGGAGCGCCGAGATCCTGGAGCCCCAAGGAGCCGGAGCCCCGAGGCGGTAGAGCCCCGAGGCGCTGCCGTCCCGCAGCCGGGCCGGTCCCGCAGCGCTGAGAGGCGCGGGCGGGCGGTGCCATGTAAACAAGGGGCGGGGAATATGTAAATGTAAAGGCGTGGCCATGCAAATGAGCAGGGCGCTATGGCGGCCGCCATGGAGGAGGTGAGCACGCGTGGGGCTGCGGGAGCCCGGAGCCCCCGGGCCCGGTCCCACGGCCCCGCTGTCCCCAGGAGCCCCAGGAGTCGCCGGAGCCGGCGGCGCGGGAGCCGCGGGTGCGGGACACGCCCGAGGACATCTGTCTGGAGGCCACGGCCAACGCCATCGCGCTGCACCCGGAGCGGCCGCTGCTGGCCGCGGGGGACGTGGACGGCGATGTGTACCTGTGAGTGCAGGGGCCGGGGCTGGGACACGCTGAGCGGGGCTCCCCGGCCCCCCGCAGTCCCGGCGAGCACTCTCGTGCCGGCAGGTACTCGTACTCCTGCACCGAGGGGGAGAACCGGCAGCTCTGGTCCTCGGGACATCACCTCAAGTCGTGCCGGGACGCGGTGTTCTCCCAGGACGGGCAGAGTGAGTGCGGGGGCTGTGGGGTGGCACCGGGGGACGCCGGGCGGGGGGCACTAAGGCGGCTCTCCAGAGCTTTTCACCGTGTCCAAGGATAAGTCCATCCACATTCTGACAACGGAGGAGGGACGGCTGGAGACTCGCTTCCCCAAGGCCCACGAGTAAGTCCGTGCTCATTCTGAGCACAACGGTGGGGGCATTGTCCCATTGTCCCCTTCCGTCCCGCGGCACGGCCACGCAGCCCCGCAGCGCTGCCCCGGGAGCCGTGACCGTGGGCCGGGGTCTCTGCAGAGCAGCTCTCAACTGCGTGCTGCCCATCGACAACCACATCTTCGCCACGGGTGACGACAGCGGGGCGGTGAAGGTGTGGGACCTGCGCAGGGGCAGCGCCATCCTGGAGGCACGGCAGCAAGAGGAGTACATCAGTGCCATGGCTGTGGATGGCAACGGGAAGATCCTGCTGACAGCCAGGTACCGGAGGGGCTTCGTGGGGTCGGGCTCCATGGCAGGAGTGCCCTGTGCCATGTCCCGTGCTCACAGTGTGTCCTTTCCACGTCCCACAGTGGTGATGGCACCCTGGGTGTCTTCAACGTGAAGAGACGGCGCTTTGAGCTGCTCTCGGAGCCGCAGAACGGCGACCTGACCTCTGTGGTGCTGATGAAGGTTGGCACTGCTCCCCAGCATGCAGCAGCATCCCACAGCCTCCTGTCCTCGCTCTTTTTTTTGCTCTACATCTGCCTCACTGCCCTCCCTTTTGCCTAGAGAGGGAGGAAGGTGGCGTGTGGCTCTAGCGAAGGCACCATCTACCTCTTCAACTGGGACGGCTTTGGGGCTGCCAGTGACCGCTTTGCACTCAGGGCAGAGACCATTGACTGCATGGTGCCCATCACGGACAGCATCGTGTGCGTGGGGTCCCTGGACGGAGTCATCAGGTCAGGGGGAGAGCTGGGAGGGATGGGGAGCTGTGGGATGGGGAATGGAGAGGGCGTGGGAGCTGGAGGGATTGTGGGGGGTGAGATGGAAGAGAGAGGGGAGAGTGGTGGGATAGGAAGGGGGAGATGGGCTGGAGATGGCGTGACAGGGAATTGTGGAGGATGGGATGACGTGGGATGGAACGGGATGGGATGTGGAAGGAGAGGTGTGGGATGGGCTGGGGTGGAAGGAGGAGGATGTGGGACGGGATCAGCCTTGCCCAGCTCAAAGGACAGGCGGCAGGCGGCGTCCCCGGGTGCTGCAGGGCCCTCAGTGCCCCGTGCCGTGCCCAGGGCGGTGAACGTGCTGCCGAACCGCGTGCTGGGCTGCGTGGGGCAGCACCTGGGCGAGCCCATCGAGCAGCTGGCCGTGGCGGCGGACGGGAAACTCCTGGCCAGCAGCGGCCACGACCAGAAGGTGAAGTTCTGGGACGTGTCGGCGCTTGGCTCCATGGTGGTCGATGATTACCGGCGGAAGAAGAAGAAGGGCGGGCCGCTGCGCGCCCTCAGCAGCAAGGCGCTGGGCAGCGGGGAGGATTTCTTCGCTGACCTGCGGGACGAGGCCGAGCCGGAGGCGGCGGCGGCGGAGGACGGTGACAGCAGCGACAGCGACTGAGCGGGGCCGGGGCGCCTTCCCCTCAGCACTGCCGCCCCGCCTGGCGCGGAAGGGGGCTGTGCCCGTCCTTCTCGCGGGGCGCGGCCAATCAGAGTCGCAGCCCCTGGGAGTGCCCGCCTACGGGGCGTGAGCTCACCGTATTGCTGCCACCGTCGGTGGGCAGGACGCTGGCGTTCTGATTGGCTCCTAGGGCTGCCACTCAAGCTGGGCTGTAGGCGCGGTCTTAAAGGGGCAGCGCGTTTCGGCGCAGGCGGGGGTCCCTCAGGGGACACCGGTTATAGGGGTCAGGGGGCCCCGCGCTGGGGGTACAGGCTGGGGATGGGCGGCTGAGGGTCCTGGAGCGGGGGAGCCCTTTGGGGGTGGGGGCACGTGGCTGGGGCCAGAGGGACTGGGAGCGGTCCGTGACGGATGGGGAGGGGCCCTGAGGTGGGGAACAGGGCTGGGGAGCTCTGTGGATGGGGGGGGACACTCAGGTATGGGGGAACATGGCTGGGGGGCTCTGTGGATGAGGGGGGGACTCTGAGGGTTGGGGTCTGTGGTGAGGGATGCAGGGGAGGGGGTAATGCTGGGGTTTGTGGATGAATTTGGGGGTCGTTTTGGGATGGGGGGGAGGCTGGAGCCTCCCAGGCCTGGGCCCGCCAGGCTCTGAAGGATCCCTGTCCCAGCAGGTCAATTACCCTTTGTTAATTAATTAATTAATTAAGACTTTAGCTCTGTTAGAAATAAACTCAGTGCCTTTCACTTCCCAGCACCTTGTGCTGATGGTTCATCCTCATAAGGCAAGGAGTCCTGGTGTGCCCAGGAGGGACAGACAGACTTCCAGGGAGCGCAAGGAAGAACCTAAAGAGTGCACCCCAAGGCTCTTGGAGGATCCTGGGGATCTCCAAAAGAAGAGGGATGGGACTTGGGTGCTGCCAAAGGGACTTGGTGGGTCACAGAGTGCCATGGGCAGGGACAGGGAGAGGGACAGGGATCCCTCCCTGGGATGGGCAGAGTGGGCAGCAGGGCCTGGAACAGTGTCAGCCATGGCCTGCACCTGCTGGGGAACAGGGAGGATCTGATCTGGTACAGTTCCAGCATTTCTACTCCTGGCTGTGGCTCACATCCCCCAGTGGATTCCCAGCACTGCCTGGGAGCCCTTGGAGCACCAGCTGCAGCCCCCAGGGGTTCATTCCTGGAGCTGGAGGTGGGCAATCAACAAAACTGAGACACCTGAAGTCCCTGGAGAGCATAAAGGGGTGTCCTGGTTTGAAAGGCAGGTGTCTGTAAGGAAGGCAGGAGCCTCCCTTGGAATGGTTATTGTTCCTTAGCAACAAAAACAGGGGGAAATTCCCTAAGACAGAGAAAAACAAAAGGAGAAACCTCTAACAACGTGCTCCCAGATATCCCAGAGGACCACAAAAAAACATGGAGGACATCAGGAGGCACTTGGAGGAGCCTGAGGAGTATCAAAAGCTGGTGAGAAAGAGCCCAGTGAGTAGAAGACAACAAAGATCAAGGTGTTAGGGAATGCTGCTTCCCACACAATGGGCCCACCAGGCTCTGAAGGCTCCAGATCCCAGCCTGTCCCTTTCCTGGTGTGTGGGGAGAGCACTGAGGTGCAGTGGACAGGCAGGGAGCTGAGGCTGCAAGAGGAAAAGATGACATGACTGAGCTGGTGCTCTCCAGAACTCTTTAATGCCAAAAGAACAGCACGTGGCCAGATGTGCCACTGCTGAGGAATCATTCATGGACAGCTGCCAACTCCACAGCTGCTTCTTCACTATGCAAACAGGTTAAGGGCACTCCTCTCCCCACACAGCAGCTCCACCAGCTCACAGAACATCTGTGACCCCTGGGACACTCTCTGTGCTGGCCTTGTTCTCCCCTGAGGCTGCTCCTCAGGACTGCCAGTGGAGGAATTCCCTCCATCACACTGGCATCCAGGCCTGGCACAGCCCCTCCCAGAGCTGCTGCTGCTTCTCCAGGATCTGCCCTCCAACACCACACCAACCAGCTTAACAGAACCAAACTCGGCAACAGGAAAACCAACAACCCAAAACTAGAACCAACTCAAGGGCTGCCCGGGGACGTGGTGGCTGCCGTGGAACAGGACAGCAGCCCTTATCCTCCAGAGCCAGCTCTCAAAACTGATGCAAACAACTCCAAGGAATGCTGGAACAGGGCCAGGAGCCCAGCAGGGCTGGGGCTCAGCCGTGGCTGTGGCAGAGCAGCTGCTACTTCAGCTGGCACCCTGCAGGGGAGAGAGAAAGGTCAGGCTCTGCCCTAAGCCCCAAACCCCCTCCTCTTGCATCCTGTGCTTAAATCAGAGATCCTCAGCTCAGAGCTGACAGTGTTCAGCCCTGCCAGCCAGCCTGGGTCCCTCCCTTCCCCATCCCACCCTGCCCAGAAGTGCCACAGCTCCACCTTCCCAGGGGACCCTTCAGGACTTTGGGAAAGGCTGTGCAAGGACTCACCAAGGACTCAGCCAACACCCGCAGAAGGTGCAGGGCTGCCACCACCTTGGCCTTCTCGGGCTCGCTCTGGCCCTGCCTGTCTGGTGAGATCCACATGAAGCCACTGACGGGCACGTGGGACCCCGGGATGGCCACCTGGTACCAGAAGCGCTGCCACCCGTTGGGGTTCACCTGGACACACTTGGTCCTGATCAGGGGTGTCCTCAGGTGATGCTTCCAGCACAGCGCGTTCAGGCAGTCCAGCACGTTCTGCAGTGACAGAGGCGGGGGCACTGCTGGGCTCTCACCTCCCTGCACCCAGCTGGACGGTGGCTCCTCCTCACAGAGCTGCAGCTTCTGCTTCAGCTGGGGATTCAGCCATTCCACCATCAGCTTTGCTTTCCCGAGCCTCAGGGTCCCTAGGAGACAGGAGATGCTCACCTACTCTCCAGCATCATCCCATCCCATCCCATCCCATCCCATCCCATCCCATCCCATCCCATCCATCTCCAGAATTTTAGGAGCAGCTTGATTTTAGAGTCAAGGTGAACAGGTATCAAAGCCAAATGCTCCTCAGCTGGGGCAGGAATGGGTACAAACCAAGACTTTGGAGGTACTGGTTGGATGTCTGGGAAGTGTGTCCCATCAGGGCATTGCAGCCATGGGACAGGGCTCAGAGGGACTGAGCAGCTCTATCAGGAGTGTTTAAGGGACACTGAGGGGTTGGGCAGCTCCACTGGAAAGATTTAATGACTTGGTTAATGTTCTGGGTGCTCTGAACTGCTGATGCTCCTGCTCTGAGCAGCCCCTTCACCCCCCCACCAGGACTGCTGAAAATCAATGGCCCCATGGGCAGCTGGCATCCCACAGGACACAGGGAGAGAGCAAGGGGTGTCTCAAGGCTGAAGTCACCTTACAGCCAAATCTAGGAGTGGGAAGCCCAGCCCAACCAGCATCCCTGAGCACCACTCACCTTCCATCAGAGTTTTCTTGGCCAGGGCAGCAGCCTGGTGCGACCTGTACTTCAGCACTGCGAGCTTGGCCTGTTTCTGGGAGGGGCTGGCGTGCAGGGTGACACTACAGATGCCCTCGGTGACCCTCTGCAGCGTGGCCTCCAGCTCCCGCTGGCTCACCGAGGCGCCCAGGCCGCTGACGAGCAGCTCGCGCTTCTGCGTGCTCCAGCAGACGACGATGGCGCAGCCGCGGCGCAGCTGGAAGCGGTGGAAGGTGGCGATGGCGCTGCGCGCGTCCTGCCGGGACGCGTAGCGGGCGTAGGCGAAGCCGCGGTTCATCCCGCTGAACGTCATCATCAGGCGGAACTCGTAGAGCCGCCCCACGCTCCCGAACAGCGGCAGCAGCGTGTCCTCGTAGATGTCCTGCGGCAGCCTGGCGATGTACACCTCGGTGCCGGCCGGCGGCGGGCCGCCCACCCAGCCTGCGGGGACACGGGGACACTGTGACCGCAGCTGTGAAAACGGGACCACACTCCCAGTACTACAGTGATTTCAGCATTTATTGTAATAAAAAAGTAAAGGCCTAAAGCGTGGGGGCCCACGGGTCAAGCAGGAGCATTCCCTCGAGGATGCTGCAGTGCTGGCAGCAATGGCCCTGATGTTTCAGGTATGTGACCGTGTTCACAGGGGTCTTACATCCTCGTCTCTCCCCTCATCCTGACTCCATGCTTCAGAAGGCTTGATTTATTATTTTATGATATATATATTATATTAAAACTATACTAAAAGAATAGAAGAAAGGATTTCATCAGAAGGCTAGCTAAGAATAGAAAATGAGGAATGATAACAAAGGCTTGTGGCTTGGACAGACAGTCCAAGCCAGCTGACTGTGATTGGCCATTAATTAGAAACAACCACAAGACACCAATTACAGATCCACCTGTTGCATTCTACAACAGCAGATAACCATTGTTTACATTTTGTTCCTGAGGCTTCTCAGGAGAAAAAATCCTAAGGAAAGGATTTTTCATAAAATGTGTGTGTGTGACACAGGTTCAGCAGCACCCTCCTTCCCTGGGTCAGAAGCCCCTTTTTAATCCTGTTTTTTGTCCCTTTGGATTGGTTTCTATTGGGATCCTTCATTTGCACGAAGGTTTAAGGCCTTGATTGGCCATTACAGTTCTGTCCAGGCTGGTTTGTGGTGCACTTTACTGAGGTGTGTTATGGTATCTTGAGTACCGTTTTTCTTATAACTACTCTTTAACTCCTTTTACCATAACCAAACTATAGTACATGCTTAACAATTATCAACTATTTGACAGCAGTTTCTAACCTATTTTTAACAAGGGTGAGTCCCCTCCCGGCCCCACTCTGCCGTACCTGGGGGAGGGCCCCCGTAGCGCCTCTGCCCGTTGATCTGCACCAGCTCGATGCCCATCTCCTTCTCCCAGGCCAGCAGGGCCATCTTGTTGGCCTCGTTGATTTTGTTCTTCCATGTCTGAAGGAGGAGATGGTGCTGGTGATTTGTGAGCAAAGAGCTTTCAGCCTCCCAGCTGGGAGCATCCCAACCCCATGAGGGAACCACAAGATCCAGTGCTGGCCAGCACTTGGAGGGGCAAACAAACTCCTCTGCTCTCAGGGAACCTGAGGAGCCTCCCAACACTCCCATCCCAAGGACTGTCCAAGCCTGCTCCACCTGACACAAAGCCCAGCAACTCTGTTAGAGCCCAAAAACCAGTTTCCTACAGCTCTGCAAGGGCTTGGAAAGCCAAAACACAGGGACCAGTTGCCTGGTGCTGCAAGAGGGAGCTGGAGCACAGAGCCAAGGTGACCCACTGCATCAAGACAGCTTTAAAGGGAAAGACACTGGGTTACATTGAATATTGGGAAGAAAATCATCCCTGTGAAGGTGGTGAGGCCCTGGCACAGGTTGCCCAGGGAAGCCGTGGCTGCCCCACCTATGGAAGTGTTCAAGGCCAGGTTGGATGGGGCTTGGAGCAGCCTGGGATGGTGGAAGGTTGCCTGCCAGCACAGAAGAGAAAATATTAAAGAGAAACAAGAACTGACCACTGAACTGGAAAGCAGCTGAGTTATTATTACTGTCCTTGAAAATAGAACAGCTGCAGAGACAGTTACAGGAGGACAAAAAGGAAAACAAAAGTTGGAGGAAAAAGTTTAGCTAATGCTTACACGGGCTCCAAGTGCTCCTGACATTGCACAGATTAGAAAATTAACTGCATCTCCTGAAGATTGGCCAAATCCTTGGTCTTGTTACAAAACGAGATGAAATTAGACAAGACACAGCCTTTAATGAACAATTGTCAAGGTGTGCTACTGAAATTACAGATGAAATTAGAAAAGACATAGCCATTAACGAACAATTGTCGAGGTGTGCTACTGAAATTTCAGAACATGGGGAAATCCCCACCTGTGGAACACTAATTGTGTGCATTTCTGGTATCACCACGAAATTCACTCCATCCCACAACTCAGTAATATGGGTGAGACGTGGGATGAAGTAATTTTCATGGGGATACCACGAATTCTATGTGCAATGTCAGACTAATTGACCATTCCCAAGAACTAGGATTACAGTTCGCCCATTGAGAAAACAGAGGTGGAAAGAATTATCTAATAAAGTGTTATTTTCAAGAATTCCAAAAATTGCAATTATCCTCCCCTGGGGCAAAGGTGAAAGAAACTCCTGACTAAAGTTAGCAAGAAAATGTAAAAGCTGTATGATTTCCAACAGGAGCAGTACACCCCACAATCCTGTCACAGCAGGATGGGGCTTTTCCCAGCATGGCAATAAAGGTAACTTGCTTCAAACTGGCACTGACCAAGGGTACCTTTGATAGTATAGGGATAAAATGTTTCCAAAATCATGGAATATTCAGGGGAGTTGGAAAGGAAGGATAGGCCTGGTAAGCCCTGGGAAAATGTTAGGCTGCACCTGTATAATCATTTGATGACTATGATAAATTGCATGATTGTTAGATGTGATGATTGTTTGGTAATTGGATATAATTATTGTTTAATCATAACAAGAATCATGAGAAACGATGTTTGGGGGGTTTGATTGAAATTACAAAATCCATGCTTGGATGAAATCAATGTATCCAATAGAACAATATAAGTTTAATAATGAATATGTAGTTATACAATGATAAAGGTATAAAAACGTGTTCATCCTGAACCCATGTTGGGAGTCAGATTTGGGTCTGTGCCTCTGACACCCAGAGCTCTTCAATAAAAGCACTGCATAGAATCATTCTGTGATTATGTGTTATTGAACATCTTCACTGCTTAGCTGGACTGCATTTCAGGAGACAGAACAGAGATGTTCTGAATGGGAAAAGGGACTTTTATCTCTAGTCTAAGCAGTGAAACGAGCTCACATTTTCCATGTAAGTAGGTACAATGGGCCAAAAAGGCAGAATTCTATGGGTTTTTCATAGCCCATACTACCCCAGTCAAATGGAGGCACAGAATGGGTTAATGGCCTATTGAAAAAGAGCCCGAAGCCACACAAGGCTGAGGGAAAAACTCAGGGTAAATAATCGCTGTGACCTCAGTGTGCATTTTATGCAAACCTTAATAAGGTGCTCCACCTTCCATTCAAGGGGAATCTGACAGCTTTACAATCAATCAGGACAAAGTGTTACGGTAAAAGTAGCACAGAACAATGCCTGAGACTAACTAAACCTCGGGGCACACTCACTTGGGAATCTACAGATAGCAGTGTCTCCAAAAAGTACAAAACAATTAGTGCACCGTGGCTTTTCCCTGTTTTTAACGGGATAATAACCTGTCCGGGCAAACCCCGACGAGACTTGTATTATTTTACTTTTTCACAAAATGATACTGGAAATGATGCCAGCATGTCTCCACTGAAAATCAAGTTATCCATTGAAGGAACGCTTATTCTCCTCACAGAAGGAATCAGCACCAGAATGAACCAGACTGAGCACACAAATCACCAAACCTGACCCCCCCGGATGGAAACCTTCACTTTCTCCATCTGTAATGGTCACTGTGCTAATGGCTGTAACCATGCCTAAGCCTGAATGCATTTCGATGATCATTGCTAATGAATAATTAGCAATGCTAATAATTCTCCTAAATTTGTACAATTAGCATTGATAATGGTACGAATTTAGGAGCTCAGCCGAATAACATGAATTTGGCAGACGGAAATACAGGCGTAATATGTGAAGCACAACTTTCAGCCAAAAAGGGAGAAATTTATTTACTCAGCTTCCAATACTGACACAAAATATGAAAGGGAAGTTTTGGTGGAGATATGTATCACAGCTGTAAGTGAGTAATGCATACTGCCTCAACAAAAACGAATTTAAATCTCACAATGCATTCCACTACCTCCCAGGCTCCTGGGAAATCTGATCACCACAAATTTCTAAAATTGGAAGCTATGCCGTCAAATACACCAGCCAAAACAAGTCCTATTTAATCCTTTATGGTCCTCAAAGCAGCGGAATTATCAATGGAGGTTAATATCTCTGCAATTAAACCTGCCATTTCTGTCTAGTCCATGTGGTCGGCACGGTGGCATGGCCGGATCCCGATCCTCCAAACCCATCGGGGTAGGAGCTGTCGTGGGGACAGAGCAGGGTGCATTAAGCACCGTGGCTGTCCTAGCAAACAAAATAAACTCAGTAACAAGTGATTTATACGAACTGAAACATCAGTTTCGACCTTCCTTATCAGCATTAGGAACTGGCCCTTTTCGGATACCTCAACGGGAAAGGATGGAGATAAAAGATCACCAGCAAATAGTGATAAATAGCGATAAACAGTGATAAAAGATCACCAGCTAATAGTGAATGCCACGAGGTGGTGGCACCTCTCCACCTCCAAGGGATTTCATCTTTTATGAAGAATAAAAACCAACTTCGGACGCGGGTGGGAATCCCCACTGGGGGAACACGTGCTCACAGCGGGATAAACCCAGGCGCGTTCCGTCCTCGGAGCCTCGTGGCCCGGTCCCGCGGCGGATCCCAGCTCCGGGAACCGGCCCGAGGGTGCCTGGGCTGTGTGGGGAGGCAGGACGGGCTCTGCTGGCACGGCCCCGGGGCTAACGGGGCTGACCCCGGGCGCGGCGGCTCCGCTCTGGGGCTGGGGTCGGGGCCAGGGTCGGGGTCGGGAGCAGCCCTGCCTGCGCTCCCAGCCGGGCCGGAGCCGGGACCGGGACCAGCTCCCTGCCGGGGCCGGGGGCTCGGATCCCCGCCGCCCCGGCAGCGCTCACCTTCTCGTCCATCCCGCCGCTCCTCCCGTGCTTTCCCGCCGTTCTGGCCGCTCCTGCGGTCCGGGCCGGGGTAGGAAGGGAGGCAGCGCCGCCCCCGCACCGCGCCGCCCCTCCCCGGATGGACCCCGGCAGCACCCGCGGGGGTCGCGCCCTGCTCTGCCTTGCCCTGCTTTGCCTTGCCCTGTTTTGCCTTTCCTTCGTGTACTTGTTCACTTGTGCACAAGGGAAGGCAAGGAGTTGGTGTAAGGTACAGCAGCACCACCAAACTCTCCCAACAGAAGCGTCGGGGTTAGATGAGACCTTCAAAACCACCCAGTCCAATCATCAGTGTCATTCAGTGTCATTAGACCTCAGATAACAACGGCCGGGTTTGAACCTATTCGTACTTCTTGCTGCTTGTTCCAATACCTGCTCACAAAGGCGAATTTTGGGGGGTTCAGAAACATCTACTGAAAGAAATCCTTCAAACAATAATGCCCAGGAGAGTGCATTAGCCTAAATCTCCACTGTGTTACGAAGTCCATCTGTGTGAGAGAGTCTGAGCTGTTCTTGGTTCTTGGCTCCGTTTTGGAGGCACCCCGTGCTCTGCTGTACCAGCTCCGGGGTGAGGACCAGACCTTCTGGGGCCGTGGTGGTGAAACCTGATCTACTCGAGCCAGAGGGGTGCACACCCAGCACCGGAGGCTCTGGGGGTTGAGCCACGTTAGGGAGAAGGCCATACAGACCGTGGTGTTTGTTTTTGTGCCAATGTCCTCCCCTGGCCACAAAGAAGGGTGAGGAACATTCACCCACTTGGGGCTGAAGGCTTTTGTCCTTTCTGGGACATAACTGGCTTAACTGCTGAAGTGAGAGGCAGGGTCATGCCTTAAAAGGGGTCATAAACCACCAAAGACCCTTCAGACAGTGTAAAATTCCCCTCCCCAGGGCAGGTACCCACGGGTTCCATCTAAACCTAAATTGTATTTACCCACTGACCCTGGTGTTCCTTGGGCTATCCCCCAGCCTGATGGATCAAGATTGTGAGCGCCACTCAGACCACCAGACGCCAAAATTGCAACAATCAAGTCCCTTCAGTCAAGTCTAGTTACTGATCCGCAGTTATGAGATCTTTCCACTCTTATCCTTCCCTCCACTTTCTTTCTTACACTTTTTCTTACCTGTTATTGCTATGCTTTTATATTGTTGCTTTACTATAGATAACAACCACAGTGGCCACATCTCTGCTTTCCACTGCTTCTAAACAGATCTAAAATAGACCCTACATATTTTTATCTACAAACACCACTCATCCAGTGTCATTTCACCTCCAATGCTTCCCAGTGGATTCATTAACTAGAATTCTGGTTCCTCCTGCTGTGGCAGCTCAGCATTTCTGGCACAGGGATGCAGCCCCACTGTTCCAGATCCCAAAGAACAATTCCAGCCCTCCACAGCATTGTCACTTGCCAGGCTATACTCACTTATTCCATAAAGCCACAAATAGGATCTTGCAGGTCCAGATAATGACCAATATCTCACAAAATTGTGGAAAAAGGAAAAAAAAATACTAAAAACCTTGAAATACAGACATGCACAAAAAAATCATAGCAAAGAAATATAAATTGAATACAAAATTGTAATGATTCTAAAAATGTTTAAAAGTTTTTGGGTTTTCTCCTTAAGAAGGAAGAAGTAGCTCATTCAGCCAGTCTGGATGAGCTGTCCTTTATATTTCTAAAGATAAACTACTTGGCTATACCACTGTCTTGGTAAAAATCCAAGAACAAGTAGAAAGGGAAGTTAATGAATCATATCCACAAGGAAAAAAATTGCTAGTGATCCAGGTTCATAAAATGATGAAACACAGCTAAAATAGGCTCTGCTCACCCAAGTACCTGCAAATGGAAACTCACTTTAGCAATGTGGCTATTTGTGCAGTGCTGCTGTAAAATGTAACTAGGCTTCTTAGTATTTTGAGTAGAAAAATGACTGATTTTTCCAAAGAATTAGGAACTCATTCCCACCTCTAGCTGACGTCAGCTCGCTTTTCCGGGATACATCTCAGCAAGCCAAGGTGCTGCCACTAGATGGCAAAGTGAGACTGAATCTTCTCTCCTACACAATCTCAAATTTTGTTCATTGGACGGAGATAAAAGAGAAAAACATTAATATATTTTTATCCATTTTAACCCTCTGCCATTTGTCTGGAAAACAGTGGTTGCAGGTATTCAATATGTGAATGGGAAGGTGTGTTATGTGATCAAGGTGAGATCCTACTCTGCTGCCACTTTAATCCACATCTCAGAGAAGAGCCCTGACAGAGCAGGACTTCTCCAATGGACAAAGACTTTTGGCCTGTGCTGGCCCCCCTTCATAATGAGCCAGAGGATAAAAATAATTGTCTTACATCCATTTATAGTACAATACATGTGTACAGTTTAAAATATATGCAAAATGCTTCTTTATAAGAAAGAAAAGCCTCTTATTAAAGTTATTTTGAACATAACAATGAAAAGTTGAACAGCATGGGATGTTCAACAGTTCAGCTCCTTGGAAACTCTAAGCCAGTCATAGAGAGGAACATAAAGATTGAAAACAAAACTAACATTAAAACCAAAACTATACCCAAGATGATGTTGGCTAGCAGCAGCTTTTTTTTCTCCCAGTCACCTGTGTATTTTCTGGTCTGTGAAATTCACTCTTGAAAACTTTCAGGACTGACAAAATCTTTTCCTGAGAAGGTCTGAAATGAGTATATGTTAGTGGAAAAGCTATAGAAACTTTTTTTATTTTTCACAGCATTGCAAAATCACAAGTGCTTTTCTTACTGGTCAGCAAGCTATTGAAATATTTAGAGAATTGGAAATCTATTGGATTGGAATCCAGTTCTGAGTTTGTGTATGGACAGGAACATTGCAACTGCAACAATGACCAAAATCCAAGGCTGGCAAGCAGTTTACGGTATAAACTCTGCAAGTTTCTATAGAACTGAAGCTACAAAGTAGCTTTGTTTAGGTTATAAAACAACTGCCTGACTGGATAAAAGGAGATCACTTAGAGTGTCAGAGCTGCTCATGGGTGTCAATAGTTCATTTGATTGAAATAGCAAAATGGGTTGAGTTACAATAATCATCATATCTTTAGCTGTCTCAGAGAATCTGACACAGCTGGACTGGGCTTAGTCATTAATTAAAACCACTTCACATGCTGGGTAAACAATTGTCCAAATCACATTCCAGAGGAGCAAAACATGGAGAAGCTGAGGCTTCTCATCTTCCCAGGAGAAGAAATCCTGGCGAAGGGATTTTTCATAAAATATCATGGTAAAAATAGGGTGTGTTTTTAACGTGCTTCATCTTTGCCTTAGGCTCCAATGTCTCCATCAAAGTGGTGAGCTCAGGTACAAACCCAGTGTGCTCACTGGCAGAGCTCTGTACCCGAAGGCACCGTTAGTTCAGGAGGGTCATGTCCAAAGCAGGACATTTCCAGGTGTCCTTTTGGCCCCCTCTGTGTCCCAGGACAGCTGGTCCTGTGAACTGAGCTGCCCTGAGCAGCCCAAGCGCTGCAGGAGAGTTCTTCAGTCCCCAATTCCTCCTTCTCAAGCTTGCAGCAGCTTTTCTGGTTAGCAGAGCCCTTCACAGCTCATGAGAACAACTGACTGCTAGTGTCACAAAGTTTATCTCCTTTTTTTCCTTCCCTCATCTCCACTTCCCTTTCTCAGGCTTAGCAAGCATTTTTTTTTCAGTCTTTCCTGAGCAGACAGCTCTGTTGAAGTCTCCTAAGTGTTCTCTGCATTTGTTTGCAGCATTTCTGGACAAACGAGACACATTATGTCACTTATGACTCAAACAGAGAGGAACAAAACATGTTCCTGAGCAAACTGCTCTTGCTAGAATATCTCTAAGAACTTGCCTTATTTTTTACAGGACTTTAGTAGATATTTGATTCTCTTTGGTTTCTGAATAGAGTCCAGCTGCACTCTGCAGTGGCTGTATTTTAGGATTTCAGGCCTTTTGGAATTGCCCAAACTCCAGCTTGACACCTGCTCAGAGGAACACAATTCACTGGCAAGGGAAAAGACACTTCTTCAAGTATTCATATTTTTTTTTCATCCAGAAAAATCTTTGCTGAGGATTGAGTTCCTATAGAGAACACTTTTTTTTTGTTTGCTCCATGTGAACTTGGATTTGAAGCCAGTGTCTCAGACAGAGTTTTATTCAAGCCATTCCCTGCAGAGGCAGGTAGGTTGGATGCATTTACCTCAGCTGCTGTTCCCATTAAAGTCTCATATTCAGGGTCCATCTCTTGCCCCGGCAGTCACCAGTGTGGGGAGGAAACCTCAAAGTTCCATTCCTACAAGTTGCTTTTTCAAATTGGCCTCATTGTGAATGTGAATATCCTGATATTTTCCCCACGGAGAGTTTAACTCACACCTGAGCCAGGTGTGGAAGGGAGGACACTGAGGTGGTGAAAACCATTATCCCACCTCACAGGGTCTGCTTCTCTTATCTCCCTTATCTGCTCTGAACCCAGAGCTAAGCAAAGGGCAGTTTGTTGTGCTCATCCTCCCGAGGTGGGTGGATAAAATAATAAAATATCTGAAATTTCAGAAAATATCTGAACTCCCTTGGCCCCAGGGCTGTTCTTATGATCTGACGTTTGTCCACCACACATCCAAAGCCTCTCCTTCCCTTTGGCCTGGCCTCAGCAAAGCACCAAATGAATGCTGACATTGCAGTCTCTCACAGTTACAGGTCGGAAATTCAGCCTGGCATTGGGCATGCCATGTTAAAAGGGCAGCTCTAGGCTGTCCAGGGTAAACATTTCCAGGGTAAAAGAAAGAATCTACTCCAGAATCTACCCCCAAATTTTAAAAACAAATTTGGGCAGGACAAAAGAAAACCACTTTATGAAGATCCACTTTGGTTTGGGAGTGAGATGAACATGAAGACAAAATTCTTCCAAGGTTTGAACTTTTTTTTTTTGTTTGGCTCTAAGGATATGGACAACTAACCTGAGTTATTCTAGAAAAA